TGGCAAGGAGACCCGGGGCTGAAGGTTGAGCTGATGCGCTGCGTACTGAACCGCAAACGGCCACAGAAAATGGGGGGCAGCCGCATGGATCATGGATGTACGAGCGACGTCCATGACCATGCCAATGCGGCGCTCAGCAATCCCATTTTGCTGTGGAGAGGCCGGAAGCGTGAAGGTCTGGCGGATGCCCTGTGCTCGACAGAAGGCTCCCAGACGGGCAGAGGAAAACTCCCCGCCTCTGTCAGAGTGCAGACGCAGAACAGGAAAGTCCGAGCCGAAACTCTCTCTGAGCTGGAGACGAGCTGCGCGGATCCAGTCGATCAACACCTCAGTGACGTCACCCTTGCTGCGCAAGGGGAAGACTGTGGTGTAACGCGAGTAGTTGTCAACCACCAACAGGAAGTAACGCTCGTGCCCCTGGCCACGGACGCGGGCGGGGCCCCACACGTCCATGTGAAGAGTCTGCAGCGGAGCCTCTGTCGGAGGAAACTCGGAGGAGTGAGGGGCGGCGCGCTGTCGCCCCTCGACGCAGGGGACGCAGGTAGGGGCAGGCCCCGGAGGTAGGGGAGGGAGAGACCGGGGGAGACCAGAGACAAGGACACGCGAGGCCATGCCTCGGAGACGAGGCAGGGAGGGGTGACCAAGGCGGTGGTGCCAAAGGAGAGTCTGGTGGGACAGGAGACGACACGAGTAGGGAGCAGACTCAGGACCAGACCTGGACGCTGCAGCAAACACCTGACTCGACGCAGCTACCTGACCAGACTCAGCAGCCGGAGGAGACTCAGTAGTAAGTGTGTACAGGCTCGACCCCGGCCGACGGGTGAACGTGGCCAAGTGTCGGCCTGTCCGAGCACACGTGCAGTGGGTCACCCGCTGACTCGCAGGAGTGAACTGGTCAACCCCCCTATCCTGTAGATCAGCTCCACTCACCAAGTTCGTAGAGAATAAGGGGAGGTAGAGACCTGACAGGGTGCCAGAGGGGGCTGCCGGGCACGGTAAGACAGTGGAGAAGCTAGCAAGGACAGGACCCCCAGAGGGGTCCGCCAGGGAGACCGCAACGGGCCGACTAAGCGGCGTAAGCGTGGTGCGGTCTCGAAAGAAGGAGCGGGAAGCACCCGAGTCAAGGGTGAAGGTGTGTAAGGCCTGAGCCGACGTAGTACCTGAGAGAGCAGACTCACCAGCACCTGGGGCAGCAGACGCACTAGCACCTAGAGCAGCAGCCTCACCTGCACCTAGAGCAGCAGCCTCAATGCCCGGGTCAGGCGGAACACACAGGTAACAGTCACCCTCAACACTATTAGACACAGCATACATGGCAGCAAGAATAGCATCATAATCAAGATCAAAGATATCAACCCCCGCCTTTGACAGCTCTCCCCAGCGAGGGATCTCAGAGGCCTCAGGGAACTGGTGACGCCACGCGTCCGTCAGGCGGCCGAAGCAGCGCTGGGTGGAGTGCGGGCCCCCGCACTGCTCACCAGCGCGGTCGCCGGTACGGAGGACGTAGGTGCAGGGACCAGTACCCCCACCGCGCTGACGCGCAGCGTACCACTCACGAAGCTGCTGAGGGGACAGGGTCTCACGACTGCGCTGCTGCTGCTGGCGCGGACCACCACCGGACCCACTCCTCTGCGCAGAGCCGCGACCAGCTCCACTGCTGCCGCCGCCAGCGCCCTCCTGCGCCCTTGCCCCCCTTGCCCTTGCCGGTGCGGCGTCTCCCGCTAGGGGCAGACGCAGCGCCGACCGACTCGAAACCAACGAGGTCGGCCGCAGCAGCAGAGGCAACAGAGGGCAAGAGGGGGGAGGGGGAACACCCCTCAAAGACGGGGGTGTGAGGGTCACCACGAGAGGCTCCTACAGCGACTATGCTCTTCTCTGCTGCTAGGAGGCGCTCCTCGAGGAGGTCAACGGTGAGAGTGGTGGGGCAAACTGAGAGGAAGTGGTCCCTGACTAAGCGAAGGGAGTGAGGGAGCCGGGTGACTATGTAGTAGAGGGTGATGTACATGGGGGGGGGGTTCTTGGCACAGAACTCAGCAGGAAGCGCAGCGCGGTAGCGAGTGTCACTAGTGCGAAGGTGCGTAATGAGGTCAGCGACTGTGGGAAAGGCAGCAAGGTCAGGGAACAGGTACGACAGCATGAGGCGGCTAAGCGCAGCAGTGGCAGGGGAGGAGTAGCGTGCAACTACAGCGTCGTACAAGGTCTTAGCATTCTTGTACTGGCTAAAGTGCGCACGTTCAGTGGTCGGTAAGTGGCGACGCACAGCAAGGCGGGCAGCAGCATCGCGTGTGGCCCACTGTGAGCGAACAGTGCTGTCAGCAGTAGCAGGCGGGGCAGGAGAGGCACCAGAGGTGAGATCAAACAGGGAGAGTCCGTCTGCCCTATCGCACTGTAGGAACAGCTGGAGGTCATCGACCCAGACCTCAAAGTCAACAGCACGACCCTCAGCATCAAAGGTAAGGACACTGGGGGTAGCCATGACTGCAGTGGCCTAACAGGGAGTGAGCTCCCCAGTCCCAGTAAGTAGGGCCGGGGCGCGCCGGTAGGAACAGTAGTGGCTCGACGGCAGGGCGGCTCGGCGGCTCGGCTGATGGGCGGCTCGGCGGCTCGGCTGCTGGGCGGCTCGGCGGCTCGGCTGATGGGTGGCTCGGCTGCTGGGCGGCTCGGCGGCTCGGTTGCTGGGCGGCTCGGCGGCTCGGCTGCTGGGCGGCTCGGCTGCTGGGCGGTTCGGCTGCTCAGCTGTTGGGCGGCTCAGCGGTGAAGGGGCCGGTAGAGGCGGCGACGGGGCCGGTAGAGGCGGCGACGGGGCTGGTAGAGGCGGCGATGGGGCCGCTAGGGGCGGCGACGGGGCCGCTAAGGGCGGCGAGGTGGCCGCGAAGGGGCGGCGACGGGGCCGCTAGGGTCGGCGACGGGGCCGCAGAGGGGCCGCAAGGGTCCTAGAGGGGCGGCGACGAGGCCGCGAAGGGGCCGTAAGGGGCCTAGAGGGGGCGGCGACGGGGCCGCAAGTGGCGGCGACGGGGCCGCGAAGGGGCCACGAGGGGCCTAGAGGGGCGGCGACGGGGCCGCTAGGGGCGGCGACGGGGCCGTGAAGGGGCCGCGAGGGGCCTATAGGGGCGGCGACGGGGCCTAGAGCGGCGGCGACGGGGCCGTGAAGGGGCCGCGAGGGGCCTAGAGCGGCGGCGACGGGGCCTAGAGCGGCGGCGACGGGGCCGTGAAGGGGCCGCGAGGGGCCTAGAGCGGCGGCGACGGGGCCTAGAGCGGCGGCGACGGGGCCGTGAAGGGGCCGCGAGGGGCCTAGAGCGGCGGCGACGGGGCCTAGAGCGGCGGCGACGGGGCCGTGAAGGGGCCGCGAGGGGCCTAGAGGGGCGGCGACAGGGTCGCTGAGTACGGCGACGGGGCCGCTAAGGGTGGCGCGAGGGGCCTCTAGGAGGGCGCGACGTGAGGGCGGCCTACGGGGCGCGCCTCGGGCAGAAAAAAAAAGGTCGAGTTCAGTGGTGGGCCCTGAGAAGCGTTCCCACGAGGGAACCTGCTCTATACCATGTGAAGAATGAGGAATGAATGAACTAGCACAAAGTTGGGTACAAGTAGGAAACCCTAGGAAACTGTACCCCATAGTGTCTACCCCACTATAGCCTAGACAAGCTATATGATATAAGTTTGACACACGCGAGTTTCGAATTGGAGACCTTTCGATTCAAGTGTCCCGAAAGGGTCTTGTCAGGACAGATTGGGGACATTTCGGGGACAGATTGGGGAGAGTTTGGCAAAATCGGTCTCGGGTCGCATTCAGTTTGAAACTTGGCAGTGAAGTGTCGAAGTCAACAGAATTCTCACGGGAGTTACAGTCGATGGTCGACAGAAATCTGGTCGCGGAAATTATCGTCTACCTAATTCCAGTCAATGGAATTTGCTCGGCGAAATTCAAGGCTCGAAATTTTGCGTCGACGAAATTCAACGTGCGACTCGGGTCGACACTTTTTGTGTGCTTTGTTTTTGTATTGCATCCTAGTATAAAACCAGAGAGCACAAACCAGAAATTAACCAAGTCATTATCGCTACTATGTTTGTGTATATCTCTGGCTATAGTGGACCGTTTCCTGCAATCTTTGGTGCGTTGGAATCGTGCTTTCAAGCTCGATCAAGTTGCTATAGTACTGGAATTCTACATGGTATCAGAGCGAGGTTATCTGCGTCGATCCAACCAGCAGCTTGACTCCGTCGTCGCGTCACTTTGTTCCTACGTTGGAGTGGCCGACGCTCGTTTTGACCACGGATGGAGTGGTTAATGAGCGCCGAGGACCTGAATGCCCGTCACGAGCTGGAGGCATCCATTCGTGAGCACCACCCCTATTGCATGATGAGGAGAACGACCTCATTGTGGACGGTCGTCTACTACACATGGTTCGGGAGCGCGCGGCGGAGCAACCACCGGCGGGCGGTTAGCAAGGAGGAACTGGTGAGGGAGGAGCTGAGCACGAGGCTCCTGGTGCCGTGGGCATTGGCGGAGGAGCTATTGCACCGACCATCGACACGGGATTGATTGGCACAAGCTACGGTTAATTCAAGTTTGGAGTTGAGCATATCTCCGTGACGCCGCTGCTCGTGGGAAGGCACGACCTTATTGGGTGGGTCAGCGCCGTCCAACCTCAGCTCCTGATTTGTGGCAGTTTTGCAATGGGACAACACCAAGCCCGGCCCCGAACAACCCCTTGCAACGAAGGGAGTACGCAAAGGGCCAAATGCTTGCATTCATGATGCTGAAGCGCTGTGTTTCTCCACCCATCCGAATGTCTATCTCTGGTTTCTCTCAGCAAGAGAAAGTCGGACAGCTAGTATGGGCATATATCTTGTCTACTTATTAAGCATGTGATGCCCTCCACGCTTCCGTATTTCAGACCCAGTTAGCCCAACTCAGGAAGGGAGATGATGAGACGGCGGAATCCTACTGCAATAGGGCCCGTACCATCCGAGCAGAGCGGCTGACCATTGGACAGGAGGTCCACATGGCCACGTTTGCCGCTCACGTGCTGAAGGGCCTGCCATCGAAGCACGGATTTCTTCGTCGTAAGCTCGACATTTCCAGCCCTGAGATGATGATGAAACACGTGTGCAGCGAGGTGTTGATAAAGGAGCAGACTCTCTCCATCGAACAGAGTTACAGGCAGATCACCAGCGATACATCTGCTTTCTCGGGCGCTGTCAACACCGTCGTGGCTACAACGGGGGTCAATGGGAAGGAAGGGAAAGGAGGAAGGGAGAAGATGGACAAGAAAAAGGATGGCAAGCAGGAGAAGAAGCGAGCCCCCTTCAAGGGGCACTGCTACAACTGCAATGGGGAGGGGTACATGGCTGCCAACTGCCCCAACAAGAAGGAGGATACAACGCCCGCGGCAGCCGCGAACGTAGCTGAAGGAGATGGGAAGGGCGTGGCGCTCACCGTCGCGTGTTCGGCTGCAAAGTTGCTGGCCAACGACAAGGACTTGTGGTTCCTTGACTCGGGATGCTCCCAACACATGACCGGCCGCAAGGAGTGGTTCACGGTGATTTGTGTCCCATCTGCAAAGAAATCCGACAAAGGGTTTGATGGTTCTATGCAGGAAGTCGCCGGTGTTGGTGAGATTTTGCTGGAGGGCACTAACGGCCTGCGTGTGACCCTGCATGATGTCCTCTTTGTGCAAGGAATGAAAGCCAACTTGGTCTCCCCTGGGCAGCTCACGGACAAAGGAGAAAATCTGCGAACCGAACAAGGTGTCACCCGCATCATCGCATCGGGAGGACAAGTGGTTGCAACGGCACGCCACTGCCATCGTCTTCTCTGCCTTGACCTGAAACCGTGGCCAGCAAGCAATGGCACAACGGCTGCAGCGGCATGCAACGGGACGGTGGCTGCATCGGTTTGCAACGGCACGACGGCTGGAGAACTGGTGTGCTGCAACACACGGGGGTGAAAGCACACTGGTGGCACTTCACTTTCCAGCGGTTCTTGTGGGTGGTAAACCGTGTGCAGTCCACCCTGCCTCATGGTGTGACCCCTCATTTGGTGGTGTTCAAAGTCAAGCCCGATGTGTCCATGGTCCGTGTGTTTAGGTGCATGGTGCAATACCTCGTTCCTGAGCATGAGCGTGGGGAAGCTTGCAAGCAAGACTCGTTGGGGCATGCACTTGGGCATGAGCATGGAAAGCAAGGGATGGCGTGTTGTTGATGTTGAGTCAAAGCGCATGGTCATCACCCGGGATGCACGTTTTTATGAGGACATGTCACTTGAACGGTGTCAGAAGTGGTGTGCACGCGTGGGTGATGGGAATGACCAGCCCACACCACCCTTTGCTTCAGTCCCATCTCTCTTTCCTGAACCCCACGACCCCGAGCAGAATCCGCCGCCACCACGTACCGTCATTGTGGTCCCAGTGTCGTCCGTGCAAGGGGGCGAGCAACCCCTTGATCTCTCGGTGGGCCCTTTGAGCAGCAAGGCACCTACTGCACATCCTCCTCCTAGTCCACCCTCCGTTGCTGATTCGGCGCTCGTGGGACCAGAGGATGGTCCTGTGGAGGTTGGCACCAGCATGGTTGATCACGAGGAAGAAGAAGAAGTAGCAGTGGATGAGCAGTCACCAATGGCCCATAAGCATGAGCCTTTACCTGCAGTTCCCCCCATCCAGCCCATTCCACCACCCCCGTGTTGCTCCAGCAGGCCTAACAAGGGGGTGCCACCCGTACGGTTTCAGCCATCAGCCATGATGGCCCAGGATGCGGACTATGAGGACAACCCGTACGACGTGGCATACTTTGCTGAGGACAATTGCGACACGGACAGCGATGACGAAGTGGAGTACTCGGACGAGGATGAGGAGGAGGAAGGCGCTTGGGGAGGTGTCACCCTCGACCTGGCAGGTGCGTTGACCGGACCTGAAGGCAAGGAATGGTGGGCTGCTATGAAGGAGGAGATGGAGATCCTTGAGGAGCAAGGCACTTAGACGTTGGCTGACCTACCGGAAGGTCGCAAAAGTGTCGGCGTCAATTGCCTGCTGAAGAAGAAGCCGCGACCTGGCGGTACCGTGGATAAGTACAAGGCCAGGCTCGTGGCAAAGGGATTCAGCCAGCGCTTCAGCATCAACTACGACGACACCTATGCTCCGGTTGGCAGCTACTCCACCGTTCACGTGCTCCTCTCAATCGCAGCAGCTATGGACCTGGATTTGCTGTAGCTTGATGTGAAGAATGCATTTCTTCACGGCTCCATTGACCACGAGATCTACATGCAGCAGCCGCCCTACTTCACCGACGGTAGCAACAAGTTGTGCCTCCTGTAGAAGAGTCTTTACGGGCTGAAGCAGAGTCCCCTTCTGTGGTACAAGGAGCTGGACAAGATGCTTCTTTTTGACGGGTACAAGAAGAGCCTTGTGGACCAGGCCCTATATTACAAGGATGGGGCGAGCGTGAAGCTCGTGTAGCTGCTTATCTACGTGGATGACCTTCTAGCAGCAAGTGAAGACTAGCAGCTGCTGCAGGACCTGAAGGAGCTGCTGGCTAAGGCGTTTCAGCTCCGTGAGGTGGAGCCAGTGGAGCGCTACCCGTGGCTGCATATTGTGCGTGATCGCCCCAACAGGACACTTCTCCTGCACCAGAATGCATACGTGGCGAAGGTGCAGCAGCAGTTCTTCAAGGGGGCGCCACCAAAGAAGCAACCAATCACTCCTCTCCCCTCTGCCAGCTTTGCCAAGCAGGATGCCGGGCAGTTTGCCAACCGTACCATGACCGAGTACTTGTCAATTCTCGGCATGGTGCAGTTTGCAACCATCTCAACCCGTCCTGACCTATGTTTTGCGTGCAACCGCCTTGCAGCAGGTGCACACCTCAGTTCGGATGCGCATTGGCATGAGCTCTTCCGCACACTCTCCTACTGGGCTGCCTCACCAGACATGGGGCTGCTGTTCATGTTGGATACACATCATTCTGAGTGCATGTCATCCTAGCGTCCTGCCGAGTGCTCGTGCTATTTGTGCTTGCATGATTTGCATGAGCATATGTCATTGTGCATGGCTGTTGGATATTATCATCTCTGTGTTTTTCTCCAAGTTTAAATGCTTGACCATGCAGGAGAAATCCAGAGGTTTCCATCAATACCAAGATCGCCTTATTCCGACCAAGATCGCCCAAGTTACAAGATTTCCAAGCTTTGGGAATTCTATCTCGTTTTGAGATATTATCTGCATTGGGTGATTATTGGGTCATGACTACAAAGGGATCTTTGGTTGGGTGGTTAGGAAGGCAACCTTGAATTTTGGATTGGAGTGGCTAGAAGTTTCTAGCATGGGTTGCAAATATTGCAATACCTAGGCAAAATCCAACTAGATTGGATTTTGCATATGACACCTTAAGGACCTCATGATGAGGGTTGCATCCTTGCTGCTAGAAAGGTTCATACCATCCTTCCGTAGCTCTTGGAGAACCCCTTCCCTCTCATGGTTCTCTTGGAGTCCCTAACTCAAACCATTCAATACCTTCATGCTTGTACTTCCTCCATCATTCTCGTCATGCGGCTGCTGGACGTTTTCAATTGTTTCTCACTCTACCGTCTCTTCCCCTACCGCACTGCGCCCCTCCCCCCCCCCGCCGCTCTTCCTTGTGCCAGGTCCCCCCCCCGGTAGACCCTCTCCCCCCTCAGGGTCCTGCCCCGTCAGGTGTGTCCCAGGTAGACGCAGACGAGCCTGTCAAGGTAGCTGTTGACTCTGGTGCTGCTAGGAGTGCTGAGCCTGGGGGTGCTGAGTCTGGGGGTGCTGAGTCTCGGGGTGCTGAGCCTGGGGGTGCTGAGCCTGGGGGTGCGCAGCCTGGGGGTGCGGAGTTTGGGGGTGCTGAGTTTGGGGGTGCTGAGCCTGGGGGTGCGGAGCCTGGGGGTGCTGGGTCTACTCGTGTGGCCTCTGGCGGTGCTGGGTCTGGGGGCCCTTCGGGTGCTTCGTCTCGGCGGGAGCTACCCTCTCCACAGGAGCTGCGCGAGTGGTTTGCCCGGCGCTGGAGCCGTGCTGCTGGAGCTGGAGGTGCTACTGTTGCTGCTGACCCTGGGGTCGGCACTGGAGGTACTTGAGCCACTGGTCCTGGAGGTGCTCGTACTGGCGGTACTGGAGCTGCTGGGACTGGAGGTGCTGCTGGGGCTGCTGGAGTTGGTGCTGCTGGAGGTACTGGAGCCGCGGGTACTGCTGGGGGGACTGGAGCTGCTGGGCCTGGAGGTGCTCCTAGTGCTTGAGCTACTAGCGGTGCTGGAGCTGGCCGTCCTGCTGGAGTAGGTGCTGCTGGAGCTGCTGGAGCTGGAGCTGCTGGGGGTGTTGGCACTGGTGCTTCTGAGGGTGCTGGAGTTGGCGCTGCTGGAGCTGGAGGTGCTGCTGGCGCTGGTGCTGCCGCTGGGGGTACTGGTGCTGTCCCTGCTGTTTCTGGAGGCGCTGCGCGGCCGCGGCCGTACTTCGTTCCGCTCCTTGAGCAGGTTCTTGGTCTTCCGCCTTCTATTGGTCCTGCTCCTCCCTTACAGTGTCCACCGCCTGTCCAGTCACAGTTACAGCCCACCTCCCCCCTGCCTGCTCCTTCTCCCTACACTGGTCCTACTGGAGATCTTGCTGAGCGTCGTGAGCCTGCGTCTCGTCCTGCGTCGCCTGTTCGTGCTGCTCGCACTAGTCGTCGTGCTCCGCGTCCGCGTCCTCCTGCGGTCCCATGCACACACCAGATGGCACTGCGTCCTTCCACTGCTCCTCTGCGTGTCCCGTTGCCGTCTCTTCTAGAGTCCTCTCTTCCTGTTCTTGCTGACCCGGAGTCTGACTCTCTTCGTGCTGCTAGTCCTACTGTCACGCGTCTCCTGGCTACTGTTGTCACTGACCCTTCCTTTGAGTCCACTGCTGCGTTTGCCTTGGTTGCTGAGCTTGTCGACTTTGCTGCTCGCTGTCGTCTAGACTACGCCGCTAGTCTTGTTGCTGAGTCTGAGTCTGTCTGTCCTCCGTCCGTCGGGGGTGAGTGTGCTCTTAGCACGGACGTCCTTGAGGACAGGCAGGAGGAGTTCCAGTGTTTTGCTGCTGCTTTGCCTCATCTCGTGTCCACGCTGATTGCCCCTGAGGGAGACCCGGATGCTCCAGACATCCCGACTCCTCGATCGTACGCTGAGGCGATCGAGGGTCCCTACTCCTCACAGTGGCAGTCAGCCATGGACGCAGAGATGGCTTCCTGGAAGTCCACAGGCACCTACGTCGACGAGGTTTCCCCACTTGGGGCGAACATCGTCAGTGGCATGTGGATTTTCAGGGTGAAGCGGCCGCCGGGTTCTCCGCCTGTCTTTAAGGCGCGTTACGTGGCTCGAGGCTTCAGTCAGCGGCAGGGAGTTGACTACTTTCAGACCTTCTCTCCCACCCCGAAGATGACCACTCTTCGGGTGCTGCTGCACATAGCCGCTCAGCGCGACTACGAGCTTCACTCTCTTGACTTCAGCACAGCTTTCTTGCTGGGCAGCCTGCACGAGGAGATCTGGCTGCGCCGCCCACCTGGCTTCACTGGGTCGTTTCCTCCTAGTACCCTGTGGAGCCTCCGGCGGCCAGTCTACGGTCTTCGCCAGGCGCCCCGTGAGTGGCACGACACACTGAGGACTACACTTGCGGCTCTTGGGTTTGCTCCTTCTACTGCCGACCCGTCGCTGTTTCTATGCACCGACACCTCTTTGCCGCCGTTCTACATCCTCGTGTACGTCGACGACTTGGTCTTTGCCACTGCTGACACTGCTGGACTCGCCCACGTGAAGTCCGAGCTGCAGAAGAGACACACGTGCACAGACCTGGGTGAACTGCGCAGCTACCTTGGCTTGCAGATCACCCGGGACAGAGCACAGCGCACCATTACCCTGACTCAGTCACACATGGTGCAGCAGGTCCTTCAGCGCTTCGACTTCACGTACTCCTCGCCTCAGGCCACTCCTCTGTCTACTCGCCACTCGCTCTCAGCTCTGCCTTCGGATGAGTCCGTAGAGCCGAGTGGCCCGTACCCAGAGCTTGTTGGCTGCCTCATGTACCTGATGACCTGCACTCGACCTGACCTTGCATACCCTCTTAGCATCTTGGCACGCTATGTTGCTCCTGGGAGACACCGACCAGAGCACATGGCTGCAGCGAAGAGGGTGTTGCGCTACTTGTGCAGTACGTCGGGCATGGGGCTAGTGCTTGGAGGGCGGCGTTCAGTAGTCCTAACAGGTCACGCAGACGCTTCTTGGGCTGACGACCAGGCTACGCAGTGGTCGTCACAGGGTTACACCTTCAGCCTTGGTTCCGGCTCTGTTTCGTGGCGGTCTACCCGCTCGTCTTCTGTTCTCGGCTCTAGCTGTGAGGCTGAGATCTACGCGGGAGCCATGGCTGCACAGGAGCTACGCTGGCTCACCTACCTGCTGACTGACCTAGGAGAGCCGCCTCGTTCTCCTCCAGTTCTGTACGTAGACAACAAGGCCATGCTGGCCTTGTGTCGAGAGCACAGACTGGAGCACAGAACGAAGCACATTGCTCTTTGATACTTCCTTGCTCGTGAGCTACAGCAGCGTGGTCAGCTGCGCCTTGCTTACGTGGCCTCTCAGGCCAACACTGCTGATATCTTTACCAAGGCACTTCCGCCTTGTGATCATCAGCGCTTCTGTACTATGCTAGGTCTTGTGCCTACTTGGCCTCACTTGCTCACTTCTTGACCTTTCTTGTACTGTGATCTATCTATACCTGCACTTGCTTGTTTGCCTTTATATATGATCTTGCATGCGAACTGGCCTTGTGGCCTTGAACTTGTGCTCGGACTGTGTGGTGACGTTGTGATCCACCCTGAGCTTACTGTGCTTTGCTTGACTGGTCTTGTGACCTCTTGTTCTCCCCCACTTTGCCTATGGGGGTGTGTCAAACTTATATGCTATAGTCTGTGTAGGCTGTAGTGGGGTAGATAATGTGGGGTACAACACTTTTAGGTTTTCCTA